ATATTGATTGCCTAAATTCTTCATCTCACACGGCGTAGAGCCAGGTAAGCCATGAGCCGGTACCCGACCAGCATCACCATCATTACCGACACGTCAACCCACAGCCCATCTAGACCCACAGCCTTCACTGGCGGGTAATCCGAGACCCGGCACAAAACCCCTTTCCCGCACTCGTAATAGTCATCCTTACCATACTGAACCCCAAGAAGTAGCCTGTAACAGTAGTAGCTGTAGCTCACGTACTTGAGCCAGGCAATAAAAACCGGGATGTGCCTGATGTAGTAACCCCCAGCAACTAGAAACACGACAGTTGTGACCGAGGATAACGTTGCAGCCTGCTTGACGTCCATCAACAGGGCTCCGAACGTGAGGCCAAGGCTCTGTGAGACAAGCACGCTGAAGAGAACAACGAGTAAGGAGAGGATGAAGGCAATTGGGTCGGGCCTCAGCCCGCCCATCCAGTAGAAGATGCAAGTGAAGGCTGTGGGGAGGGCAAGCTCCATTGGGAGGTCGCCAGCTGTGCGGGCCAGGAAGTAGGATGAGAGACGGTACATGCCGGACGAGCGCTCCTTGATGAGCATGGCCCGTTCTTGGGGGAATGTGAAGACTGCGTTGTACATTGGGTAGAAGCCCCAGAAGACTGAGAAGAAGAACAGCATGGCAATCTGCATTTTTTCATGGTTGGGAAATTTATTTGTTTTAGGCTCTTCGTATTGGAATGTGTTGTGAGTTAGTTGAGGTGAGTGATGAAAAAAGGCTTACGCGGTCGTCGATGTGGGAGGATGGGGTCTGCCACCAGAGGAGGCCGCCGAGTATGGCGACGCTTATGACTTGGTAGATTCTCAACTTGTTGAAGGCTTCGAACCTTCGCTCTCTGAGTCCACGGATGAGGAGGATTTTGAATTGATGCCACCAAGTCGTGCACCATTTCTGTGTTTCCACATCATTTCCTGCAGTACCATTCCGAAAATATCCATTTATTACTTTTGATCAAGAGCGGTAACTTCTCTTCTTCCTCTTTTTTTTTTTTATTTATTTATTTTTTTCATCTTACAACTTGGATTATAGTGATTTTGTGCAGTTGATTACACTTAAGTGGATGTGAGATAGATATTAATGATTGAAGTTGTAGTACAGTAGCGTTGATTCGATTGGCCATTGTTTCCCTGGAGATGTTAAGAAATAAAGGCAATAATCGGTTTTGAAAAGTTTTAATTACATTTAAAAGTGACTATTAGCTGTAAATCTCCTAATTGTCCAAGTAGAGGAGGAGGGTCCCTAACAAAATTATTATAATTATTATTTTTTTTCCTAAGTATAACTTGTTCACACGCTTACTTATGGTGGTCTCTTTTGCTTGGGTGTGACCGGTAACATCAGAACTGCACAGCTCGTTTTTCAGCCTCGTAGAAATATTCTTGTCATAGGCAGAGATGAGAGTCTCTCTCACAGACGTCACGTCTTGAACGTTTTCATTGTGGTCGGTACCATGCTCGTAATCGGGTCCGATTCCTGCACCACATTTGCATGCTCATTCACTTTACGATCAACGATTAAAACACTCGATTTTCATCATCTCAAAAGTCTCAAAAAGCTTCTACTTTTCACACATCAACACTAATAATTAGTGTCCGTCTTAGATTTTCATCACATGATTGCTGCAAAAGCATACACCACTGCTGCTGGGCTCCCTCCCTCCATAGGTCAATAATAAATAATTCAATGATTAGCCGAAAAATCATTTCTAACTCGTTATTATTGTTTAATTTTTTTTACCATTGGCGAGATCGAGCAAGAAGTCGGCAGGGTTGACCGCGACCGACACCGAGAACCCAACGGACGAGAAATAATCCAGCGCAGCCGCCGCAGCCCCATAGTAGATCGGGCGGCCCTCGGACAGCAGCACGAGCTTATCAAACATGTGGTAAAGCCTGCTGGACGGCTGGTGGATGGTGGTAATGACCGTCCTGCCCCCTGCCGCCAGCCCCTTGACAGTAGCCAATATCCGGTGTGCCGTGGTCGAGTCGAGGCCCGACGTCGGCTCGTCCAGCAGCAGCAAGCTGGGGTCGATCAGCAACTCCTGCCCGATGCTCACCCGCTTGCGCTCCCCACCAGAGATCCCGCGCAGCAGCGGGCCCCCGATTATGCTGTTGCGGCAGCGGGCCAGGCCCAGCTCGGCCACCACGCGGTCCGCCTGGTGGGCCTTGTGGGCCGGGGAGAGGGATTGGGGGAGGCGGAGGAGGGCCGTGAAGAGGAGGGTCTCGAAGACGGTGAGGTGGGGGTAGAGGACGTCGTCTTGGGATACGAAACCCGTTCGGCGGCGGATTGGGCCCGAGAAAGGCCGACCGTTGTAGGTGACTTTGCCGGAGAGGCTGAGGCGGCCGCCGAGGGCTGTGAGGAGGGTGGTTTTGCCGCTGCCGGACGGGCCCAGCATGGCCAGGAGCTCGCCCGGGTGGACTATGCCCGAGATCCCGTTGAGAATCGTTTTTTGCTTGGGGCTGCTGCTTTTGGTACTGTAGCTTATTTTGTAGACCACGTCTTCGAACTGAAACGTGATATTAATTATATATATATATATATATTTATGCATATGTAACACAAACTATGACTAATTGGGTAAATGTCCAAATTATACTATTTAGTCCATTTTTAGGGAGAGGGAGAGAGAGAGACCTTCAAGGTTATGGGGTACAAGCTCCGTTGTAGAAAGGAGGGCTGGTGGTGGTCCTCAGGGCCATTGGCCTGACCTTCAGTGCCGTCGGTTTCGGGTTTCGGAGCAACGGAACAGAGTGGCATGGCGAATATTGTAATAAAAAATATAAATGATTTATTTATTTCTTGTTTCGTGTATTGCAGTTGAGACTGGGGAGAAAGGTGGTATTGTGAAGGAGCTGCTTTTGAAACTTTGATGGTTGGAAATGAAATTGGGTGATAAGAATATATAAGGGGAGGACTGGGAAACAAACAAACATGGATTTCTCATGGAAATCAAAGTGTGCTGTGTAGGCCTAATTTGCCCTCCCTGCTTGGGCCCTACATCTTTTTTTTTTGTTGATTTTTTTTTTTATTAAATAATTTTTTCTTCCACTAGTTTTGAATCTTGATCACCCATTTAGACTAATCTCTTTAGTTCACCAAATAATATGTGTCCAAGATAAAGTTATACTTATTAATTTTTATCTTAGAGATTCAAATGTAAGTAAAGCAACTAGTAATTGTTCGAATATAAGTTCACTACCTTATGTTGATTTTAGTAAGAAATTAAAGAAAGTGTGTTGTTTGGGTGTACTCACTATAAGTTGTGGTGTAAGTTGGAGGGTGGAGGTAAAATCATATGAAGTAAATTTCTAGAATATTACGTAGTACTAAAACACGATTTTGAGAGTGGTATATTTATTTGGTGTTCGTGTATATATGAGTACTATAAATTATTGTTTTGTTTATTACGGGTAGACATTGATAGTGCTTCCCATCTTTAATTTCACTTTTTAGCTATATATTATTAGTTTTATGATATTTTAATGGCTCAAATGGATTCTTACATTATGTGCATGTCAGTTCTTGTCCTGCAGCACTTTATACTCCTTTTTTTTTTCAAAGAAAAAGAAAAATCTTTTGTTGCATAATGTGGGCAATGGATATTTTGTGCTTAAGCCATTAAGCCAAGGGTGCATTTTGTCATTGTATCGAAGACATCATTGTTAGAAGTAGGCATGATCGATAGTAGTATTAGCCCTCTCTTTGTTGGGACTTGGGAAGTTGGGAGTAGGCTGAATTTTGAAGATGACAAATGTCTGGAAGTGTCTACTAAAACAAATCGTTGTAGCTCTGTTTAAATGACATTTTAATGCTCGTAACAGGTTCTTTATTCTTTTGCAGTCTTGATTTACTTTTTTATTGCATGATTTTGTGGCCGATTTGAACATAATTCCCTAGCCTAGGGGCAACTCCTAGGCATTTTTTTCTCTTTGCAAAATACATTATAACGAAATTTGTGGGGAATTTTGAAAGTTGAGAACTATCCATGAGAGCTAGCTAAGTTGTAAGAGAATGTCATCTTTCATAGAAATGTTATATATGTCTCATTAAGAATAGTGTGCCCATAAAGCTACCCCACTACCCATATACTGAGGGTGCAATTTTGCAAAGCTGAAGACAAATTTTAGTTGACAATTGAAGTGTCAGGAGTTAATTTTCTACTAAGGTAGTTTCTTTAATAGCTTCACATTTTATAGTAAGATCATTAACATTACCATTTAACATGCGAATGAACTTCACTCGGGCTCCTTTAACTCGGACGGCCTCCTAACCTGCATGAACCCAATGCTGGGAGGGGTCCTGGCGTCGGGCCTCCAATGCTAAATCAAGAGTGCAAAATAAGAGTGTAGTAATGAATGAAGAGAGAATGAGTTAATGCGATACTTTAACCTCCTTTTATAGAAGGGGTGTACCTTAGAATCGAAGTTGGACTTGACTAATACCATCATGCCATGTGTCTTAGCCCATATGTAGGATTATTTTTTAATATATTCCTTTTATCCACTAAAACCAGTCTAGTATAATATCTCATATCACATCGGAATGCTGGCTTTTACTGTACCTGCTAATACTCATTTTGAACTATATTCCTTCCTTTGAGGTAATAAAAAGTTATGAAGATGTCAATAGTTCCTCTATATATAATTCTCAAATTTGCTGAGTCTAAGTGGCAGACTCGCAGGTTTCGAGATCTTACATATCAAATTTTCATACTTTATAATTTGCTTTGGATAGATTTTAGTTTACGTCCAATCCAAAAGAATAACTAGGCGCGGAATAACACTAAATATACTGAATATTAATGATCCTTATTAGAAGCATTAATTATATTTTAATATCATTTCATATTCTGAAGGTGTTTATAAGGCATAACTTTTTGCGCAATCTTTTTCTTTTCCTTAGTCTTTCTTTTAAAATAATACAAAAATTACTAAGATAAATTATAAATACACTTTAAAAGTTAATAATTTTTAAATTTATCATATATTTTATATAATATAGTAGTGTCAAATTAATCATCTCCTGATGAGCTTCAATTTGACATACACAATAAATAAATAATTATTTTTACTTTGATAATAAAAATTTTATTATCTATTATAATTATTTTAAAAAATTAAAATTAATTAAACTAATTTAGCTAAAATATAGTTTATGATATAAGCTAGAAAAACATATTATAAGATGAATAAGCCGTATAAGTGACGAGTATTATTTTATATATAAATAATAATATAGCTTTTCAAGAAAGTGTTTAAAATTTAAAATATTTTTTTTTTATTTTTTAATTTGAAATATAAATCTTTTAACAATTATCCGTGTAATACACGATATCATACCAGTAACACTTCTACACTCAAAGCGGAATATTGTTGGGATCATTCATTCAAGTCACTAATTTGATATTTCAGCTTAAATGTCTAATATATTTTCTTCACACAACATTTAAAATAATATAAGATCATGTGAAAAATTATAGTCACTATGCACAAAATTTGAAAACTCTTCCTACACAAAGTCTATTACCACAAAATTTTATGTCGACATTTCAAT